ATAAACATAAAAATAATAAAAAATTTTGTACACGCTAAAACAAAATTTATAATTTAAAATTTTATTTCGAATGAAACGATTCTACTTCTAAATTGAAATAAGCGTGATAATATTCCATTGGACAATGCTATATATTCTTGTATTCCACGCTCGTTCTTACTCACGTCACCGACTCTTAAATTCCGGTTAACCGTCTAGTGGAAAATGCGCGATAACGATAACATCTTTTCGCCTGGAGATTCTTACTCCATATACTCGTGTTCTTCAACTATGTACGATTAATTGTCCATGATGTTTCGCATTAGAGCAAAGTGTCCATGTTCCTGTTGGTTACCCGCTCAAAATGATTGTAGATTCCTTTAGTTTCTACGAGAAAGGACTATTAATTATACGAAAGATGTGGCACAATGACCAGGCCTGGAATTCGAACCTACCAATCTTCGAACGCTCGTCTTCTCTTCTAATGGTGGGTACGTTTACAAACGAACAGCTTCTTAGAAAACATAGATAAGCCTTGAAGACTCGAGAGTAGCCTATCTACATTTATACGTTAAACTAGTCGCAACCTTTCGTTATCTTCCAGTAACCAAACAAATCACTGTTCGATTTCTTTTTTAATGAAGACATAAACCACAAAGTTAGCTCTTTTTTTCTTTGTAGTTTCTCTATGAATAAAAATAAAAATAGTTTTGAGTTTAAAAATACATTAATACAAAAAAGTTATTACCTAACCTAATTTAATCTAATCTAATCGATATATATATATATATATATAAATATTGTCCTTATCGAATATATATAAAAAAATACAAAAAGAGATTAAAAAAAAATGATGTATCGAAATGAATTTTAATAAATTCCGATTAAATTTATTTTTATCCTTTCCAGAAATTGACGATCCAATTTAGTTTCTTTTGGCGCGCGTCTTTCCGCCAGATTATGGGCTATACGTTTTTTGTACAACTGCAATAAAGATTTCTATCAAGATTTAGATAGCTTAGCAAGATTTAATATTTTATCGATTACATTGATTTTAACATTTATAATTGTTCATATAAATCTTGTATAATGATCTTTTAATATTTCAAATTTATAATCGAATTATAATTACGATTAAAAAATTAATCATTAAAAAGTTATGTTTAATTTAATTATAATCGATAATCATTAATTTTGACTCTTATACAGTTCTTTTAAAACAAGAATTATTAATGAAGAAAGATAACTTATTTATCGATGTAAATAAAAAAAACAGAAAAATCACTTTCCACTTTTTCGAACCGTAGAATCGTCCATTTGTTCGAGATTTTAAATAAACTTTATAATTTAATGTTTTTTTCACACGCATCGAAAAGATTACACGATAATATTCTTGTAATCGTATCGCTTTTTACATACATCTTATATATCTTCGTATAAGATACATCTTTTACGCCTCATCCTAACCTCATCTTCGTGGCCTACGATTACATATGGTATCCGAGCAGACATGTGTTGAAGGTTGGCCAAAATTAGGGAAGAATTATTTTCTTGAGAAAGAACCGGCCCAACTCGATACTAGCGACTGGATTTTTGGTTCAAACCATCGAGAGAAGCAAGTTTTCGTTTTTTCTTCGGACCTGCCTTCGTTTATCTGCCGCTTGACGAATGAACATGCGAGGAACGCCACATACCTATTACAATAACCGGTGTACACGGTTCCGTTCAAGGTTGCAAGAACGAAGCAAGCGCAAGATCATGCTGAAAACTCGGCATGTTACTCGTTACCCTTTAATTGAGAATGGACTAACGCTGAAAATGCAATCTAGCTTTACTTGAATTTAATATTATATATTGTATATTATACAATCGATCTCAAAAGTATCCAACATTTCATTATTTATTATTTTTAACATGTAACATATGATTTGAATTTTTGATATGTTTCTTTGATTTCTCTGAAGCTTTAAAGTTTTAACATTTTTTTTGAATAAAAATTCAATTGGAAATATTTTTTATTTAGTAAAATAATATAGTATTAATTAAAATTTTATCTCGTATCATTTCAAAATTTTAAAATGAAAAAAATTTAATTTTTAAGGTTAATCTCATTTTCTTAAAATAATATTTTACTAATAAAAAAAAATTGTTCCGTATATACTCACATTATGTCTCGTATAAAATAAAATTTTTGTTGATTTTAATGACTCAATTTAATCCTATGTGCTAATATATTTAAGAATAAAAGAGAATTATTGTTCACTTTTGAGAAGCTCAATATTTCTCACAGATAAATGAAAGTGATTATCCTATAATAAAATTACTTTTGAATAATAAAAACCATTATTGAAGAGTCACTCTCAATTCTCCAGCAAAGTAATATAGTTTTACTTTCAAATCTATTCACATTTTTTCTTTGAACGTATCGAAAGTAAATGTCAATGATGATTCATCAAAATCACAAGTCACAAGAATCTAAAAAACAATTTAACATATTGAAATATAATAAATTTTCTAATATTATGGAATTTTTTTTATATCAGAATAATAAAGAATTCTTCTGAAAATACGAATGAAAATTAAATATAAATTCTATAAATCCGAGGAGGTTACAATAACAACCGTTAGACATAGTGTATGCGAATCCATATTCACGTAACGGTGCGCGGTAAAATCGAAAAAGGATAAAGTGTAGACCGGCTACTGCCATCGTTGAAGATAGTATAGCGTGGCTCATTGATTTCTCAGCAGACACGTTGAACGTCTCTTCTTCGAACTCTAGTAATTGATCACGGACCAATAGCGAGAGAAGATCTCCTGCGAAAAAAGATCCATAATCCTATTTGATTAATTGTAAGGGGAGTCACGTCCAGTCGACACGAATGTCCGGGGAAAATAATTCAAGTTACTATGCGCGAATAAATCCAGGGTTTAAATCGTGACTGTGTTACGATACCATCTTTCCAGTCATGCTAGTTGTGCACGTTTCGGCTTATTCGAAAATTAATGCCACTTTTGCGTTTCTTCGCTTTCTTACCTTAGCCTTTCGCCTGATTATAAATACAGTAGCTCGAACCGGTTTATATTTTAATTTACAAATATCTATTGCATCTAATATCGTTTTCTTTCATTGTTGGTGTGAAAAAGAAAGATTTTTTGTTACGTCATTTATATTTTTTGAATTTTTAAAAAAATTCTTAATTTTCAGCTTCGAAAAAATAATCATTGCCTTCGTTTGATTGATTGATCGTTTTTGAAACTTGTTCGTGATTCGTTTCTAAAAATTGTATGATTTTATTTTTACAAAAAATATAAAAGTTTGTGAACGTAATGGTAGAAGAAAAAATTTCAAGATATCTATTTTAGTATATCGATGCAAATGTGCGTATGGTGCGAAGATAGTTAGCTGCAGATAAAAATCCTGCGGAAGAACGCTCAATTTTATGGAACCTGTTCCCACCGTAGCTCCCTCAAACGGGTTTAGTTAGGTGCATACATTTCACGCTTGTATATGTGCACGATCGTCTTTAACGGTCGTAAATTAACGTTCCGTTCTTACGACTGTGCGGGACATCCAAAAATTCGTAAGTATCTTAATTATATTCCCGTGACGATAACTTCAATATGTGTTTATTTCTTAATTTGATCAACGATCAACAATCGTGTTCAACTTCTCAACGCTATCTTCAAATTTTTATTTCCATCAGCCTCCCTCCAATAACAACTTATTTCAAACTGTAACAATTGAATAGAAAAATATTTTAGAAATTAATGTAATTTCCAAGCTCAATTGGAAAAATCGATTACAATAAAAAAGATCGATCGATATTTAATTTGGTTAGGATGACAAGATGAAAAGCTTGAAAAAGCAATATCAACATGAACGTGGTAAACTCCTTTACACAATCGAGTCGAATCGACGAACCAAGTCGAGTTTACTCGAGCCACAATACAAGAAGAGAGGGTGAAAGAGAAAAGTCATCCTTCTCTCCTTCTCCCTCGCAATCAGGGGTGAGTGACTCACGTTCCGCAGCTTCGACGCCGACAGTCGGGACGCTTACCCTCCAAATATTGATTCGCCAGCTCGGAGAAACGAGGCTGCTAACCCTCCACGCATCGGCGTATCTAAATTTTTCTAACACCAGAGCATTTCTTGGCTTCTTATCTTCACCCTGGGTCTTCATCTGCTCACGTTACAACTTTCTCCTCTTATCAAAAACGCTTCGACACTTTCGATTTTATATGATTTACTTTTGCGCTTCTCCATCGCGTGTACGTACGTATTTGCGTATTTACGTACGTCAAAGTGCCACGAAAGACCACTAGACGCCAATGTGTTAAATCGATCAAACGCGTTCATACATTATTTCGCGTCGAATACACGTAGCTAGAATACGGGAAGCGCTTGCAAAAATAATAAAAAAAACTACACTACAGGCTAATTATATGCGTAAATGATAAGAATTTTCTATTACTGGATATATATAGAAATACATAGATACTCGCGCCTTTTCTATTCTCTCTTTTTCTCTCTTCCTGAAGATGAATTTCGAAGCAACAGAACGACGTGAATCGCATTCTTATTAGAAAGGATTTTTTTTTAATTAAAAGAAAAAGTTAAATGTAAAAAGTTAAATAAGAATTATAAAAGAAGAATTGTGTGTGGCAAGACGAAAAAAAAAAAAAAATAGTTTTCATTTGTCAAGACATGGAGAGAAGAATTCTAGGCAAAGGTAAAAAGTGCAATTGTAACTGGGATTTGTTACTTATCTCGTTATCCTACCAATTAATAAGGCATTTTCTCGTGAGAATGTATCGATACAAAAAACATCGGCACATATATCTTTTACGTTTGTACACGGATAAAAAATGAAATGTCGACGAACATATCATTCAAAAAGGTCACTCACCGTCCCGCCAAGGTCGCCACAGTTTTATCACATCGCAAATCACATCCAATCTTGTCGATTTTTAATATTTCCCGACACTTTTTTCTCGTAAGCACGCGAAATTCCACGAGAAATGGATCTACACATACATACGTTGTGAAACACTGTGTCCCGAGATCACGAAGAACGACGTGCACGCACTTCAGCTGCTCTCGGCAGCGTCGCGACTACTACCAAACTACCATACACGCACGAACCAATCTTATGTGCGAACGTAGTAGAGGGCGACTACCTGCGACCGTGTATCTCGACATTGAGCGACGATCAAACGACCAAGATCTCCGTACCGGCGTACTGATCCGCGGTTAAGTGTTGTACATTTTTTTTCTACATTCTTCTTTAGTCTGATTCAAAATTGTCAAAGTATTCTTGAAACAGAGCGAAGAAAAGTTTTTTTTCTTGAAGAAAATAAAAAATAATAAAAATAAATTGATTATCATTTTTGAATTTGTATTGTTCATTTGATATTATTATCTAAAAATCTTTTCGTTCATGATAAGACGAAAAATTATACTACATTATAATATTATATTAACTGAGATAATAATTATTTATTATTAAATATAAATATTTTTAAAAAATAACATTTGAAATATAGTATACGATTACTCTTAAATTTATTTATATATAATGATTTTAATATATTGAAGCTGTGTAAAATGTTTAAGATATTTCAACGAACATAATATACAATTGTATTCAATATACGTTTGATCGAACTTTTATTGGTAAAGAATTGAAAATATAAAATGCATGGTATATTAAATACTTGTATGAAACATACTTTCTAATTTCATAAAATTAAAGATTAAAACATTATTATTAATACTACTAACCTCTTTCTCTTTCTATATTGATAATAATATGTTTTAAACGGTAAAAATAAAATTCATTAAACGTAAAAAATTTAATTAAATTAAAATGTACGAGCACACACCTTGCTACCTTCGATAGCATTGAAGACTGTTGCAACTCTCTCTTGCACGTGCGTGAAATACGTCACACTTAAATATTACATATATATATATGAATATCTCGATATAACTTTTATAATTTATATAGATATTTTCTAAATTAGTAAGATCTACCTATATTATTTTTGTAGATATTTTTCTTTAATATTTTATAATATATAATATAAATATTAATAAAATCAAATATAATGACAAAATATTTTTGTTAATATTCGAATAAACATATTAAGTCGGCGCGTCATTCGTCAAAAACGCCATCTAGATGTTTTCAAAAGATGTCATTTGAATATTCAATTGTAAACTCTTTCTTTAACTCTTTTTAATGCGATTTTATCTGAGGTAATATCGTAATATTTGATTTTTTTATGAAATTTATATAGTAGTTGAGTTTCTTATAAAAGAGGTAAGAATATTATTATTTTTTTAAATTTTATATAAATCATTTTAATATTACTTGAAATTTTTCTATATGTTATTTTTAATGTAAAATATAAAATTTATCATATACACAAATGTTTTTATATTTATTCTATTTATAAAAAAGATAACACATGGAGATAACTAAAACTGAATTACAAGATTTTAAAATTAATCCTGAAGATGTTTGGAAAGAATTTCATTGTCCAAAATATGTTACCCATCTTTGTTTTAAAACTGAAAAATTACCAAAAGAATATTTGATTTTGATAGACAATTAAAATTAGACACACATCGTATTCTTCAAAAATTAGATGAACTTATATCTGATCCTATAACAAGTGGTAGTGTACTTCGTATATGTAGACTTTTATATGATTTCCTTAATGAAGTAGGAAATGATGGTTATGTATCCTTTAATGAACATAAATATATATTTGTATATATATATATATATATATATATATATATATATACTATTATA